AGCAAGAGCGCACTAGGGGCTCTGACAAACCCGAAGGTGACATCAAAACTGGTCTGGGAATGCCATGAAGAACTGAATGAACTTGCAAACAGGAACAAATTAACTTTGTACTGGGTGCCAGGGCATTCAGGAATCACAGGTAATGATAAAGCTGATGAATGCGCTAGACACGGATCATCAACTTCATATATAGGTCCTGAACCAGCTCTGGGGGTACCAAAATCATTGGTACCAAACCAGATTAGGACATGGACCAATAAGAAGCACACTGAGTACTGGTTAAAAGTACCTGGCAACAAATGCAGTAGAACCTTCATTAAGGAACCGTCCGAGAAAAGAACCGAAGAAATAGGTACTTCAATATAGTAGGGATCGGCTCAGAATAATTACAGGTTTACTAACCGGTCATTGTCCGCTTAGAGAACACCTGAATAAAATGGGGCTGTACAACGAAGACCCCAGCTGTAGATTATACAACGAAGGGATAGAAACAGCTCTACACTTCTTATGCGAATGTGAGGCACTGAATTACGTCCAGAAGAATATGACGGACATCCAACCGGAACCTGTACAAACTAGTACAGGGAACGAGACTGATGGAATGGGTGTCATGAGAAGATGGGTGAATAAAATAAGCCCAAGATGCTGCAGTGTTTTCTGGAGACTTGGACTAAATGGACAAGTCAGACAGCTCCCAAGGGATCAAATAAAACTTAGCTTGAAATCTCTTAACTTTTTATTTTTTGGTCATTTGTTCTATTTTTACTTGTATTTCATTCCACTATTATCTCATTTCAGGTTTTTTTTGCCTAGTATAATTGTTATTTTCAGCTATTCATTTTTAATTCTTATTTTTTATCAGTTCTTTCAAGGATTTCAAATCATTTTATATAATATCAGACAATGGAAGTCCGAACTAATGATAAATTCATCATGAAACATTGTCAAACACTTCCAAACAAACGTTTTGTTTTCAAGTTTTGTCATCAATTGACTCTATAAAAATCATATTTTCATGAGTTGAAATGAAGTAACTAGACGTTTGACATATATTTTTCTGTTTCAAAATTTCCTCGAATGGGAAACATTCTGCTGTCGTAAGGCTCAATAGACAAACTGCTTGTACTATAGAATGTGCTTCTGTCCTGCATAATATAACGACCTACATTTGAAGTATCACAGAGTTGAGTTTTTCATCGAAAATTTTTCTATTATCTTCTCCAAACTCGTGCAAGTCCCTATTAAGAGTCCTACGATGGCGAAACAGAATATAACGATGTTCCTGACTATGATCATAGTTCCTCTAACACCTTTCAAAGAGTCCCAATGGGTGCTGATGTAGATGAGGGCTGGAAAAGCCAATCCCAGTGCTGACAAACTGAGAGCTCCGAATAACGAGATGAATAGGTCGATGTACGGTACAGCTGCTGCCAAACAGACTGAAAATAATTAAGTGCTACGTCAGAAACTATAATAATGATAATAATGATGAATGTTCGTTATTTTTATCTTGGCGGAGTTTAGCTTACGCTATTCTACGTAACCACGTAACCAAGATTATTTTTATAAACATACACGAAGGTATAAATAGTGATACGATACAGTATTGTTGTTGATCATCCCCTGAGAAGAAAATAACGCCGGCCGCCTCTGGTCGTCGTAAATCAGTTGTGACGTGGCCTAGATCGCGCTCAACTCGACGTGCGATTCGCGGTTGTTCTAGTTAGATGCCGCTTTGCTTCGGTAGACTTCTGGCAAATTCCCTGTCGGTTTCGCGATAATTCGATTACCATATTTGAATGCTACCCACACTACTAACTTGACTGTGACTACTAGAAGTCACGGTCAAGTTTAGCGGACAGTGCGGTACGGAGCGATATAATAAGGTGATAGACATTTGAATATTAATTTAAATCTTTGTTTGTATCAACAGTGAAATAAGCCTGAGTTTCGTTACTGTATAGTGTAGTCAATTATTGTCAAACCCACGGGGAAAACGTAACAGTATCGTGACTCAAAACTAGGACCTAATCTAGGTTTAAACATCATATAGGTAACAGAAGTTCATGTTGGTAAATTATTTAAAAAAACATGAAGAAGTAAAATGAATCAGATAATTTAATTAAGTATAATTTAATTTTAATCAATTCAATTTAGGCAGATTCATTGTTTACCGAAGATGATGGCTTTCATTTTAATACCAAACGCAGAGAAAGATAGCATTTTCAATTTATTTATTTATTTACGGGCAAGCCCATTTAAAGTATAAATTGCAATGTTAAATTATAATTGGAATAAAATCAGATAAGATTCTGAATTACAAATTGCAACTAAGAATAGCTTAAAAAACAATAAGCCACAATAAAACATATACCACATATACTACCTTGAAGTATACACTAAAACTTTGAAGCACAGTATTCCATAATTGAGTTTTGAAATGATGCAAGATGTTAAACATCTCAAGATCAACGTTACTATGGGCTAATCGTAAGATTCTTGAAATGCAACTATTGAATGTGTGGTTCAAACGATAAATTGGTACATAAATGTTTGTTACTGTCAAGTTGAGCGGTTTTCAACATGTAGATAAATTTTTTCTAGGAGTTCAGGATAACCGAATTTGCCGTTAATAATATTGAAAAGTAGTGTCAGGTATCTCCGTTTTCTTATAGTTTCCAGAGATTGCAGTAGCAACTCATACTCGCAACGAACACCCGATTTATATGCTATGTATCTGGGGAAGTTGTGCTAGACATTTTCGATGTTCTCAATATGAGTTACACAATGAGAGAACCAGACAGAAGAACAAAACTCCAGGTGTGGACGGACCAGTGAACCATAAAGGGCTCTAATAGTAGTTGGGTCAGTGAATTCGTGAGTTAGCCGTTTAATAAACCCTAGCATTTTCATAGATTTATGAATAGAAGTGGGTATGTAGATTGAAGCTCAAGGTGGGATCAAGAACAACCCCAAGCTCTTTTATTTGATTAACAGATTCCAAGACATGACAATTCAAGATGTAATCAAAAGTGGTGGAACGTACATGGGATCAATAAAAGCGCATGACATGACACTTTATGGCATTCAAGTCCATGCCATTTAAGGAGCACCAGTTTGATAGATTGTTAAGGTCAGACTGAAGCCTATGGGTGTCCAATGAGATTTTAATAATGAGGAAAAGTTTTAAATCATCTGCAATTAATAGTGCTTTGGCGTGTCGGGCGCAATGAATAATGTCGTTAATAAATAAATTGAACCGAGGACCAAGGTGTGACCCTTGAGGAACACCAGAGGTTACTTCGAATAACATGGAGTAGTGATAATTTGCTCTAACCATTTGACTCGTATTCGTAAGATAACTACTAATCCATTCCAGTAGTACCCCACCTACACCATATCTGTTGAGCTTTTGGAGTAAGAGGTTATGGTTGACCCTTTCAAACGCCTTAGAGAAGTCAATGTACACAGAATCAACCTTGTCAGGATAATAGTTGTACTCTATTACAGCACTATAAGAAAAATAACGTTCGAAAAAGGATAGAGAGTTACGCAGGAGGAGGATTGTTGACGTGGAGTGATTTTGAAGTATAGGTAATCTGGACATTGGTTTCTCAATAATTTACAAATGAAGCATACAAGGTGATGTTTCCTACTATTTAACATTTTCAGAACCCCAAGATTGTTTGAAAATGTTGTTACATGATCTCTTCGTTTCAGCAAAAAATTAAACGGACACAGGCATTCTGAACTTTTTGGATCCTGGAAGAAGTTTCTAGATCAAAGCACGGGCCATAGACAATACCACCGTAGTTGAAAATTCATAAAATAAGTGTATCAGATACTTGAATCTTCAGATGATTAGTCAGGTAATGTCTGTGAAGGTATGGATGCTTTGGTAGACCATATGCTCTCGCAATCACAGAGTTCATATGGCGAATGAATCTCGAATTGCAATCTATTGTCAACCTCAAGTATTTTATTTTCCTATATTCCAATTTGTGATTATTGACAGAAATTGACAAATTATCTATGGCTCTATACCGGTCCCTCTTACTACCAAAAATTATGGCTGATGATTTATTTGGATTGATGTGATTTCTTGATGTTTTCAATAGATCATCCACATCATCATTCAAAAAATGTTCAACAGATAAAAATTCATTAATTTCTGCGGTAAAATTAGATTGGTGTCATCAGCATAAGTATGAATTTGAAAATTCTTTGGTTCATTGAAAAATCAGAGGTGTTAATGATGAATAGGAGGAGTGCAAGTATGAAGCCCTGAGGTGCACCACGTATAACGTTTAGTTCTGATGATGTTGTATAACTGATAAGATGGACGCACACTCATTAGCCTAATTCAATCTGAAATAATAAAGTGATTATACTTACAGCAAAAAAATACCATGAAAGTCCTAGTGGCGTACTCGTAGAACGTTTGATGAGGACTCTTCTCTAATTTCGGCTGCAAATACTGCTTCCACACAGTATCAATTGCCGGATACATTTGTAAAGGGTGGGAAGTGTATATGGCCAGGGAAAGCATTACTTTGCAAACTTGTGCAGGTCTGTAAAGCATAACAAAGAGTTAATGTTTATTGTTGAATTAACTTCTTCTCTTCTTCTCTTTCTATATTTGATTTGTTATTAGAGTACCTTAGCCTTAGAGAACGACCGACATATCAATGATAGTATCTGATATTATCAATGCTGTAAAGCAAATGTTACCAAGTATTTGGAAATCTAAACAAACATTATCGGTAAGGTAGTTGTTATCAGTTTTAGAGCAAAAAATTATAAAATGTTCACGTCTGCATATTGATGAATGTCTGAATTGGCAGAAACAGTGCAGAATTTTTGTAAAACAATCAATTTTATTTCATAACATAAAACAACTACTGAATGTTCATCAGTTTTATTGACATTGTACTATACTCAGGTTACTTCCAGATTGAGGTACGGAACTGTCTTCTGAGGTGTGTATCATGCAGATGGATTGATGTCTTCATTTTACAAAAGAAGTAATACGCTTAAGTGGTAACTTGAATATGCTCGTGATTCTTGTAGGAATGCTTTCAAATGTTTTACAGTTTTGACTGTACCTTGTCTTTTGATGTTTAATTATCTTAATATGTTTTCAAGAATGGAAAAGAAATATTCGTTTCGAATTAAACAAAATACAACCTCAACACTCGACAAGAACAAATTTCACGTACCATTTATGAAAACCAAATTAGTCTACAACACACTGAAACACTTGGCTTCCTGCATATTCAACTTGTTGCCTTATGTCATTAAGAATTCTGACACTTTATTTATTGTTGATAACGCAATAATTTTTGAGTGGTTTGTTGCAGTTAACTGAATTTGGAAGGTTCAAGTATCTAATCACTTGGTACTTACATTTCATTACCTATTGTATATGATATAGAACCACCTACGTCAGGACCATATGCCAAATAACCATATAATCCTATTCCAATATAAAGAATGACTATGACTGTCATTGCTGAATTGAAAACTCCATAAATGCCTAAAAACGATTTTGGGGTTTTCATTTCGTTTTCCAGGGGCATGATCTGAAAATGAAATATTACTACAGATTTTAGGGAGTTACAAATATGGATTCATACAACATAATGTCGGGACTGTGAAATTCAGAAGCAGGTTGCGTCCACTTTCCGTATAATCCGTGATTTTCTGATCATTCCTACGTCTATGTATTTTTTCAAATAAGCAAATGAGTGACACACTGATTTAATAATGACCCTATTTGAGATCATAAAAATATACTTGTAACTAATACATTAGTTTATTAGGTCATTTTGCTTTCTTTATTCACTCGATTTGATATCTGTCGCTTTCTCAAAGAATCATATTCTTCTTAGTTTCTCACCAGATAGGTAAATATTATGATCTTTTCGTAAGTGACCACGGCGTTTCTTGTTCCAATTCTTCACCTCTTCAAGTTACTCCGCAAAGATGACTAAACTTTTTGCTTTTGACGTAACTGCCTTGAAGCGTAAACTCCATTGGGGATAGTCCTTTGACTTTCTTTATCGCCAGTTTCATAAAATGCATCGAAATGAGGGCTAAATTCCATTTAATCATGGAGAAAATTACAATAAATATTACTGCAGTTTTTCCCAACACCATACCGTTATTTTAACACCCCGACACGTGTTTTGATCACCAAGTGATCATCTTCAAGAGAAAGATTGAACTTCCGTGTTGGGTTTGGTGTTGGAAAAATCTCCAGTAATATCATTACTACAGCAAAGGTTCCAGACAGTGTATCACAAGTAAGAAAATAATAACACCAATTATTTTGAAAACATTAAAAATTCGCAAGGGGCCAAATTCGGCAAATACGGTGGATGACGCATATTTGTCAGTGATGCTTGGCTAAACCACAACTGCTTTCGATAGCCATCTTCAGTTTAGACAGGTTGGACTGCTGGATGGAAGACAACTGCAAATCTCTGCGGATGGTTTCATTTCGCACGAACCACGGAGCATCCACAATAATCCGTATTAGCTTATTTTGTAGTCCCTCCAGGATGGAGATGTTAGACGGAGCCGCTTGAACATCGTTTTGTAGATCATAAGTTCATTCTTTAGGATCAAATTAGATTGTCTGTTGATCAGAGGGTAAAGACTTTCGATCCGACCCTAGATCTTTGTCTTCATGGTTATTATGTGAGGGTTAAAGGTGAGCCTACTATCTATTAATTGAAAGACCCAGGTACTTTACCCGCGCATGCCAGTCGATCTCTCTTCCAGAGATCCTCATTTTTCTGGCCAGAGAAGATACTGTTTTTCCATAGTTATCTGATGACAATATGTAATGACAGTCATTTGCTTATTTCATTTAATCCCAGGAATTCTGTTTAAATTGAAAGGGGAATATTTTTGAAAGATAATAATTTTTGGGAAAAAAGGTTTTTGCTTTCTACTTTTCCATCTTTATTCAAAATAATGTAAGAATCTTCCAAATAAATTTCAAAATAAACTTTCTACAAAGATGTGCAGATCTTGCAAAGAAGTTCAAAAACTTATTGAACTGATTTTTGTGTAAATATCAATAAATCAACAATCATCCAGCTGTAGTAAAAAAATAAAACTTTAGTTCTTGTCTTTTTCATTCATAGGCACTATTTTCATATTCATTTTCATTCCTCAACCAACGAATTTTCTATAAATATTTTGAAAAAGTTAATGAGCCTAATTAGTATTTTTAGTTATTCCATTTTCCTCGGTAACAATTTTTTTGTATAATGATGGAGACGTAGAAAGCAAATACCTTTTTATTCAAATATGATATCGTTTTCTGAAAAATGTCGAAGTGCCTATCAACTGCCTCTCAACTGCAAAGTAATCGTGAAAAAACAATTTCCACCCCTAAAATCCAACTCACTTGATCCTCCATACTTTGTATCGATTTCCATTTAATTTTTCTCTATTGTAAGCACAATATTTTCTATCATTTATTTCCTTACAACTTTGATGCTGTTAATTTTTTTGCCTCTCTATCAGGCTTCCGCATTTGCCAAACATAGGTCCAGCATGAGACTAAGTACTAGAATCGTCAACCGTATACCAGAGAACTGCACTAAAAACGAAAGAGCCAGTACTGTCCTGGACCGTAATTCATCATCATTTCACTAATAACACGTCTAGTTTTCCTATTTGCGTCCTGCGATATTCCAACTTGTAACCGTAGTTAGTGTGGATTCGTCTTTGTAGATGGCGGCAGTTACATTCAGATACTACACATTCAGAAGTACTCTTGATATTTCGAGCGTTGGTGTACACTGTTGCTCATTAGTCATTGAGCCCCACAGGACTTATTTCCGAGTAAACTTTTAAATAAGGCTCTGGCTCATTAGCACAAATATATTCCTCAAAGTTGTAAGGAACTTGAGGATACTGACGGTCAATGAGACTATACTAATGCGATAGTTCTATATACACCGTAACGGGGAACGCGGCAAAGTAACCCCAGCACGTTATCAGAAACAGGATGAGTTTTCATCCTGTTCTGAAAAAGGGGTGGCATATAACCGTCGGGTGTGCCATCCCCGTACTGGTAGGCCGAGCCTCATAGTGGACTCGGTTTTATGTCCAGTGGATATGAATGAAACATAATATTTACTTGCTTCCAGAGATATACCATTCACAATTAATTTACTCACATCGGCCTCCTTGTTTCGGGTCGAGATTTCATTTTTTGCCGGCATGTGGTGGGCGGGAAGAGAGCTTATCTTGCACTGTTCTACACGAGGTTCGATCAAAAAATATGTAACCATGATCTGACTTATTATTGCTACGAGGAGCTCACATTAAATATGATTGTGAACTGTTTAGTGAATGATAATTACTCGGTTTTATTTACTAGCAAGGTAAAACTTAATGACAGAAATGATGACAAAGAAAACTTAACTTAAGTATTTAGTTTAAGCATATTAATAACTAACAACTAATTGAAATGAATCACAGTAAAACAAAAACACTAATGAGATTTATGTAATTGTGATTTTCCACCGACAATACTTTGTAGTTGTGGACCAATTTTACTTGTACCAATTATCAAAAGAGATTTAAGATGCTCATCTCATTGAGATCTCATTGAGATCTGTAAGAGTATCTGTAGAAGTATTAAATCTCTGTTTTCTGTGAGCCTCAAGAGAAGGTATGTTTAAAATGCATTGCAATGCAGTATAGTTATAGTATACACGCATCTTGAAGGCTATATATCGCAGGAAATTGTGCTGTAGGGCCTCTCGAGTTTCACTTTTTGTGTAACGTAATGAGGGGACCAAACTGTGGAACAATAATCGAGATGAGATCTGATCAGGGAAAAATAAAGAGATTTAATAGCAGTGATGTTGGTGAAATCACGAGTGGTTCTCTTTATAAATCCAAGCATCTTCATAGAGTTTTGAATTACAGTGGAAATGTGTGATGATCAGAATAGTACTTATTTATTTAGCTTTTGATTTTCATTGAATTATTTTCCAGTTATCAAATTTACTTGACTAGTAGATAAGGCAATATTGTGAAATTAATTTTTAGACAATTAAGACGCAAGTACCTAGCATATGTATCTATGGTATGAACATGGACAACATTGTATGTAAATTTAGATTAATCTTCCTCTTGAAGATGATCAATTGGTGATTGAAACGTGTCAAGTTGTTAAAAATACTGGTTTGGTGTTGTGATATTTAATAACATTATTGTTATACCATGGTGGATATTGTAACGTGATAAATCTCTACTTGAAAATATATAGTTCAAAATATTGAGAATGAAATCAACCTCATAAAAAATATTATTCTTTATTCATATAAGATAAACATTTCACATTCAACAATTGCAAACATTATTGGAGATATATCCCCCGGACATTATGATTTTCCAACGCACTGGATGAATGTAAAAAATTAGGTGAGCCCATTATTTGTTTGGAATATATTTCGTTTCGTATAGCTTTCCGTTATAGGATAATTTTGAGGTTGTCAGGAAACAGGAAGCAGTTGACATAATTTGAGCTAGATTGTCCTCGGTTTTCGATGTGGATACCTGAAAGTAAATAACACTT